GTGTACTTTGTTGGTCTGTCTGTTCTGTTCCCCACTCTGTCTCTGGTGAATCCTCTCACCGTCCCTGCACCCCAGTTCTGTATACATAAATAAATCTTTAAAAAATATATGAAATTTAAAATGTCAAGAGAAATTTTAAGGAATTTGCAAATATTTTGGAAGGGAAATGAAAATATAACTTATCAAAGTGTGTGGAATGTTGTGAAAGAAGGGCTTAAGGAAATTTTAAAAGCTACAACCACTCTGGGGAAAAACTTGGCAGTTAATAAACAAAATGAAAAAACTAAACAAGCAACTACTTCCAGGATCCAGCAGTCTTGGGAATTGTACTCCACATAAATGATTTATGTCCACACAAAACCTGTAGTCAAATGTTTATAGCAGCTTAATTCATGATGGCCACAAACTGGAAACAACGCAGATGTACTCCAACATAAAGAATGATTAAATGATGGTATAGCCACCATGGAATACTATACAACAATAAAAAGGCACAAACTGGTATTATGTGTAACAACCTGGATGAATCTCCACAGCATTACGCTGCATGAAAAGTCAGTCTCTACAGATTTCATACTGTATCATTCTACTCATATAACATTCTTGAAATGATAAAATTATAGGAATGTATAACAGATGAGCGGTTAGCAGGGGTTAAAGAGAAGTGGTGGAATAAGGAGAGAACAGGGGCAGGAAAGGATGGTGGCAGAATCTTCATGGCTATAATAGGACGATGTGAGAGACCTTGGTGGTAATGGAAATAATTTCTATCTTGTTTGTATGTCAATACCCTGATTGTAACTTTGTAGTATAGTTGTGTAAGATATTAACATTGGCATAAAGTAAAAAGGACACTCTGTGTTCTTATAGCTACATGTGTACTAATAATATTAAAATAGAAAGTTTAAATGTGGGTCACAAGGGTATATGTGCCAGTCAATACTCCCTGATTTGTATCCTTAAAATTGTGCATTTCACTGTAGTAAATGAATCTCATTTTAAAAATGTAGCCTCCTAGATACCTATTTTACTGCTTTTTAATACACTAGGAGAAAAGAGTATTCATAAGGTTCAACTTGTTCATACCATATTTTTTCATTAATACTTCCCATTTGCTCTTTAGAGACTGTTATCAATCTAACTTTGAGCGTTCAATTGATATTATTTCAGTTATTGGATAACTCTGAAATATATCCAGGTAGATTCCTCCATATCCTAAGTAACCCTTTTTTTTCATCACTTATATTAGTATACATACATGAATTAAAAGCAATGGTTTATTAGATGAAATATTTTATAAAAGCACTCATTTAACATTTTGAAACAAAACTGTATACTATAACATATGCTTCTATTCAATGCATACAGCAGTTTCACTTACTGTTACGTGTAACACTTATACATTGTGAAATCTTAAAACTACATCTAATAAGATAAATTTAAAAACAACAGATGTTGGTTGAAAAAAGCATTTTCATAAAGATACTTAGGGAGCTTCTTTCTTTTTATTACTCATTATTACTTTAGAATTTCAGTATTTCTTGAAATTTAATATTTTACAAAGTCTGTTTCAAAGATGAAATTTCCCTGTGGCTAACAGCAGAATATTCCTCAGAGTTTTTTAATGATCCAAACAGAATATACTTTCATTTCAACATCAATATATTTCCCACAAGTAACTCAGACTAGAATCACAGGGTATTAAAATAAGGTGGTCCTTAGAACATTTTTTCTTCAAGCATCTTAATACAATCAAAAGGAAAATGAAACATGGAAAATGGAGTCACTTGCCAATGCCAGAACAGTTTCTCATTTAACACACAGTCAACAATTAGCAGTGCTACAGCCCTAATGGTGACTGGGGACACAGCAGAGAAGAAAAGGAGCAAAAACTGGCCGTAGTTTATATTCTAATGAGGGGAGAAAGGCAAATAAATAAGTATATAGACCATCAGAAAGATGTAAGTGAAGGGAAATAAAGCGTAAAAGGACCGACGTGTTGCAGATGAGAACTATCATTTTACATATAGAGTGGCCTCCAGAGGCCTAAGTAATCTAAAAACATTTGAGCAGGTATAAAGGAGGTAAAAGAGAGGGTCACACAGGCAAAGGGCAAGATTTCTTGCACAGAAACAATAAGCAGAATGAAGGTCTAAAACACACATGTATGGCCTGTTCCACAGCGTGGACTCTGGAGTGACTGGAGCAGAGCTGGGAAGTGGAGAAGTTGATGATACCACAGAAGGATCATGGGAAGGACCCAGGAAGGACAATGCAAACCTTTTACTCTGTAAAAGTGGAGTTTTGAAGTTTTTAGAGTAGCAAGGTAACCTAATCTAACTTTGGTTTATGTGGAGAAAAAGAGAATAGGAGGGTAGGAACAGAGACCAATTAGGGAGCTTTGTAATAATCCAGGGGATTATTGCTTGGGATATGGTGGTAGATATGGGGCTTGTGAAAAGGTGTCAAATTTGAGTTTTGTTTTGAAGGCAGAACCAAGAGTGAATAAATGGCAGAGGTTGGAGGGAACCCAGATATCTGATGCTTAAGTGTTCTTTTTTTTTTTTTAAAAGATTTATTTATTTGTGCATACAGAACTGGGGTGCAGACCAGAAGTTCAGGGACGGTGAGAGGCTTCACCAGAGACAGTGGGGAACAGAACAGGCAGATCTACAAAGTACGCTGCTGAGGAGAGCAGCGGGCGGGTCAGGAGAGGTCTGCCACGCCATGTGGTCACCTCCAGGGCAGGCGGGAATCGAACTCATGCGGAAGCGGCTTTTAGATTCTCAGTGCTGTGCTTTAACCCGCTGCGCCACCAGGGAGGGCCCCACTTAAGTGTTCTTTTTGACACGCCACGTTGCTTAATTAGTCTTTAAAGTTGAAGAGAGTAATCCCAGGAAAGTTGATGTCTGAATCTCAGTTTAGGATTAGAATTGCAATTTTTAGCATGCTGTTGAGACACAGTTCACAATCACTCCATCAGGAAAACTTTTGTAATTAGTTGACCCATCAGAAAAAAAGGAAAATTTAATTAATGAGCTTTTCAAGTCACTGTATGGTCATAGACTTGAACTATTAGTGTAAAATGGCACTATGATTGTTAAGGCAACAAGTCGGTTCTTCATGATAAAGATAAACCTGCATTAGAAATGAAAATCTGTCTATAGTAATCACCTGCAGAGACTATCTCCTGCCTAAGTTTATGTGCATAGTTTATTAAAAACCTTTTTATGCTCGTTAAGAACATTTTTCAGATATCAAGCTTTACCACATATCATTTCTTCATATATATCAGTGCCAAATACATTGCTTTTGGGTATTATAATACTTATCTACAGCACAATTCAAGGAACTCCTGTCTTCATCCTTTTCATCTAATGCATGCAGTTCAAACATCCCTAGGCTCCATGAGCCTTGCTGGGAAGAACAACTGCAGGTGGGCTGGATTTCAGCAGAAGGATGGTATGTGAGCTCCTAAATGTTCATTAACAGCTCTTTCTTCTACTTCCCTTCACCAGCCCACAAGTCCTTATCAATGTTTGCATGAAACAGAAATATCTAATCAGTACACTTTTTCAGATGGGTGTTACAATTTTATTAGGGAAAAGTTTTAGCGTTCAGAAAATTAGAATACAATGCACACTATTATAAACATCAGGTGGGCTGAACAATTATTAACATTTTGCCATATATACTCTAATTGCTGAACCATCTGAGAGCATGTTATTGATATCACACATCTTAACCTTAAATACCTTGAAATGCATCTGTAGAAAATAAGAATATTCCTCCTACACAACCTTAATACCATTAGCATACCTAAGAAAACAAGCAATAATGCTTTTGGCATCTATCTAGTGTACACCCCATGTTACATTTCCACAAATTGTCCCTAAATCTTTTCTTTTTCAATGCAGAATCCAATCTAGGTTCATAGTTTAGATTTGGTTGTGTACCTAAGTCTTTTATTTATTTATTGGTTTGTTTTATTGTCATTTTAAAATAACTTTTAAAACACAATTTTCTCTGCCAAGACAAGAACGTAAAAAGAAGCAGAACCACAGAAATGGGCTTTGATGCTTCTATAACACCTGTGTCAGGAAGGCTTAGGTAGCCCAGCTTAAGATGCCAGACTCAGGTCACACAACATTCAAGAGCACACGATGGGAGGCTACACTCTCAGTCTCTTTTACTAGAGAACAAGATTGCTCTTTTTTCTGTTACTGTTTAAAAGGGCATGTTATTTAGGTACTGGATTTGCCTGATTACTTCTTTAGTTTGTGTTTCTATGTCTGTGTTTACTATAAACTAGATGATAGTGCTAAAGTCTTAATTAGATTCCGGCTTAATGTTTCTGACAATAACCCATCACAGGTAGACCAAGGAGTCCCCCAAGTGCAGAAGAAAAACACAATTAAATTCTTACAATCTTTCCACAACCACCAAACCTGCATATTCCTTACTGTGTCACTTTTTTCATCTCAATATACTTTACTACAATGTCACTACAGGCTGACACTTACAAATTGGTATATGTATGTGTTTCAGGCAAGCAGTTCTCTAACAACATATGGGACAGCAGAATAATCACATGGATGGGCTGCCTCCAAGCACAAACGGCATTAATGCAATTTAAGACACTAATGACTTCTAATTCCAAGGGGCTTGGTATCCTGATCCTTACCTCCTTGATCTTTTTCTTCCATTATCACACCTGCACTTATTTTTACTGGGGTTGTAGCACTGAGATGACTAAATACAAATACTAGACACGGACATATAGTTCCATTATATGCCTAGCACAGGGCTTATATAGTGGATGGTTAAATATTTCCTGAGGGAAGTAAATTTAAAAATATAGGTGCGTCATTGTTAAAAGATGTATTTTTATATATAAAAAAAACAATAAAAGAGAATGAAAGCTAAAAATTATATAGAAGAAAATTACAGAAATAGCAACTGTACTGTACTCTTGGTCAATTCAATAGTTCGCAAGGGTCTCAGGTGATAACGTATCGGGTAAGTCCTCCCCCTCGGACCTCTGATAACCTCCGGCAGTGTCGTAAAATATTCAGTATCACATGAAACCTCTTGTCAACTTTCAAAGCTGTGAACTCCTTGATGTCAGCTTCCACTATAAAATAATGACCTGAAAATAAAGATATTAGTGCTAATTTTTATAAGAACAATTGCATCTTCAGTACACTGAATTGTAAACATGAATGACATTAATCATTTTTACTATCATTACCCAACCAAAGTGAGAATTAGTGTTCTTACTCAAATAATAATAATTCTGTCAATGAAAGTTGCGTAATGCTTACTGTAGCATTTCTCTAACTACTTGTCAGTAGGTTTTGAACAATTCACTGTTTAGGAGGCAACATGGTACTGTGGTTCAGGGAAAACCACAGCAGCTCTATCACTGAGATAAACTGACCCTGGGCAAGTAAAGCTCTCCTGATCGCCTCACTAGTACACACCCTAGAGGCTCTCAGTACACTATGTGCCTCAAAGGAAGCAGGACCAGCTGGTCTCATTATTATTCTAATTCTCAAAGCATTGGGTTAGTCCTATAATAACTCTATGGCACTGTTTTTCAGGCTCCACATGAAGACATTTGGGCTAGACAATTCTTTTTGTAAGAGTCATCTTGTGTATTTCCCAGATTCCCATCTACCAGGTGCCAATAATAGCACCACCAAATCCAATTTTAAGAGCCAAAAATGTCTTCAGAAAAGGCCGAATGTATGCTGGTGGGAAAAATAAGCTTACTGAGAACTACATCTTTAGAATTTTCTAGAGTTGGCTTTGTTTCTCATGATTTAGTTATACTTCAAATAGTTGGCATGCACACACATATATATATATGCTATCACTTTACCTTTGGTATCCTTCGTTTCTTCATCCATAAATCTGTGATAGAGATTTCTGGCCACAGAACTCATAGACTTTTTTGGTTGATGTACAATCTTATATTTTCCAATTATTGCCTTGTTCATTTCTTTAATAACATCATTAATTTGACAGTAGGTTAAGCGGGATTTCATGTATCTGTAAAACAGCATATGATTACTTTTTTAAAAGGAATCATCATACAAAATTACTTTCTCTGAAAAACAATGTATGATGACTTTATATAGTAGCAAAGCTATTAGTAATCTTTATAAAATATTTTATGTCAGCTTCCAAGTAAACCTGGTAAGTTTCAACAGCTAAAAATTTAAAGAGACCACAATGGATCGCCTTCCCAAGTGATACGGATGCATTAATCTCTATTCTCTCTCTATAAAATTAATGTTACAATTTAAAACAAGCTCTCAAATTCTGATTCAAATTGATTAATTGCAAGAGTTCATATAAATATTTTTAAATATTTGTGAGCAAGGAAAAAGAAAATGTAATAATAAATGATGCAGCTGACACTTTAAGCTTTCTGCAAAAACTATTGAGAGAGAGAGTAAAAAAGACAGGAAGAGAAAGAGCAGGAAAGATGACAGTGCAGGGAGACTAAGAACTAAAGGAGCGGGGCCGGGAGGGTCGAAAGTTAAGCTGCAAGTGGGGACCCGCCTGCAGTCATGCTTTTTCACTACCCAGCTCAAATGCCCTTTGAGTGTCATCGCTACTCTAAATCCACTCTTTCAATGTCATCTTGCTCTTGCCTGCTGTCCCGGTCACCCTAATCTTAGAATATAAAAACAGGCAATACTTAATTTTGAGTGGTCTGTATACTTCAAAGCCAAACAATGATCTACCTCAATTTTTCCCTTCAACAAACTGTGTATGCATCCTGCTAGTCTCTGTCCTTTGCCTCTCTTCAAAGGGGCAGATTTCCTAATCAAAACTTCTTTAACATGTTTAAAGGAAGATATTATTTCCAAAAACACTTCATTATTTTCTTTTCTAAATTCATTTTTCCCACTGCTTTTTCAAACCATGATTTCCAGACTGTTGATACCATAGCTCCCCACAATGTAATTCCTTTAAGTCCTTTCAAACTATCACCTTAATTTCCTGCCTACCAATTTGTCAATGCTTTCCACTTTAATTCCACTCGTAGTCTTAATTTAAAATAAAGCCCCATTCTTAAAATACATTCTTTTACATACTAAGCTTCTAACTCCTCTCATTCTTTGCATACCCCCTTAGCTTAAATATGACTATTCCAATTTCCTTCCTGTATCTCTTCATGGAAGGATTTTCTAAAAAGTCTTCTATTCTACTATTCCTCACAAACATTTGTTCTTCCCTTTAGCTCAGCCAATGAGCAACAGCAATAAAGTATTAAATATAAAACAAAACTCCAGCAGCGGGTTAGAGCACAGCACTAAGAGGCTAAAGCCACTTCCGCATGAGTTCGATCCCCGCCTGCCCCGGAGGTGACCACATGGCGCGGCAGAC